AAAGAGAAGGATTAAGCCGAGCACCATAGGTCTCCATCATCCCTGCAGGCTGCAAATGTGCTGGCTGAGGGCTTCGGAATTGTTAGTCTAATAGTAATTGCAGACAGAGTTCCTTTTTTTCTACCTGTTTTCTTTGTAATAAGATTGTTGATGGATGCAAGGCAAAAGCAAATACTTTTAAAAAATTGCCTTTATCTCTCTTGAGCAAGCCAAGAAGAAAACACTATTGAATAGTCCCCCGTGAATTCCATTGTCAGGGTTACAGGAGCCACCTGGCAGGCTATATTTAAGATTAAAGTAACCTTCAGCTGCCGGTATGTGGGGACCATTATGCAGCATTTTCAGGCTGTAGGTGTCCACTTCCCCTCAGGCCGCTGGAGCTCTGAGAGGAAGTAGCATTGTCTTTTGTTAGCAGAAGAATTAAGCTAATGCTGAGACTTAGCCCTGCACCCCGCAGTCTGTGGTCCACCTCCCTTGCCTTGGCTTTCTGCAGAGTAAAGTGTGCAGTTGTTGACTGCCATTCTGTAGTTTCTGAAATGAAACGTTTAACTTCAGAAATGCCCTTCAGTCCCCCGCTTGGAGCCTGACATTATAGCAAGTTGGGAATGATGCCATAATACAGAGGTCAGGTGCCGAGCTGGTGGGGGCTGAGAACCCCCACCCGTTGGATGGATAGAGTTAGTAACCCTTTATTCTCATCAGCTTGCATTCTCCTTTGGGTTGTACTATTGGGTACCCAGTAATACCAGGAAGCTGCTATTAGTTCTGCATGAAAACTTCATCCATAGGAAAACCAAGGCTTCTGAAGGATGAGGTTGTCTTCCTTGTTGAAAGAAGTAACTGCACGTTCAAGCTGTTTATGCTTTCTGTATCCAAAGTAGTGCTTTCAAAGTATTGTGTGGATACATAAGGTGTTAGTGATAATTATCTTAAATTGGATTCAGTCAATTCTTTGTGGTTTATATGGTACATTTTCATATATAAATTTATACAATCTTTATAAACTTCTAGTGGGAAAAGAGGCTCCCAGAATGGATGTGCCTTCATCATGATATGGACCAGTAAACGTGAGAGACAGGACTTGAGTTCATTGTACAGAATGTTCTGGAACATCTCCTTAATGAGTTAACTCAAGGAGTGCAGAGGGAAGGATGATGTGTGATTGATGTACAGCCACATGGCATAGCCACACACAGATATACATAATTTTAATCACCTAGAAGCAGAGCCCTTCTGTTAAGATTTCATTGGGCAGGGGTGCAAAGTGAGGAAGAGCTGACCTACGTGTTTTGGATCTGAGCCATGGCTGATGCCAGTGCCCCAAGGAAACGTTGCTATAAGGGGCGTTCACTCCCGAAACACTAAGGTTGTTGGCCGAAACAAACGTGGGGCCTTGAAATGCCCTCCGCTCCTGCTCTTACCCAGGGTCAGACAGACAACTTTCTGTGAGTACAGGGCCTCTGTCTAGCAGCTGTTCCTCTCCTATGTCTTCGTTGGTTTGGCTGGCTTGGGCTAGCCTGCTCCACTTCCCTGATTGATGTCAGTCAGCCCTCTCATGCTGAAAAGTGGAGGCAGGCAGTAACAGTGAGACTAGAGCATGGGGAAGCTCCATGTCATCTGCTTCTTTCCACCGCCCCTCTGAATGCTGGGAAAGGTAGACTCTGGCTTTCCTTAGGAGTGATGCTCTGTGCTTGCCTTGGGACTGTGTCTTCCTTTGTGGAGGGAGAGGGTCCATCCACAGCATTCATGAGTTTTCTGTGGCAGGGGCTCCCTGGGCAGGCAAGCCTCCTGTTTTCTCTGCCATAGCTCAGAAGGACTAAAACAGGAAGGTGTGTAAGGATTGAGGCTGGCTTCCATGATGAAGAATGTGGGGAAGCCTCTAAGAAACGATAGAGGACAATTCCTGTTGAGAGAATGAGAGCAGGGGATAGACAGCTATAGATAGATGGATGGATGGATAGATAGATAGAGAGATAGAGAGATAGATATGATAGAAGATAGATAGACAGACAGATAGACACACACACACACAGTCGGGATGGATGGATAGATAGATAATACAGATACACTCAGTCAGGATGGATAGATAGATATGATAGATGATAGATGGATAGATATAGAGATGATAGATAGATAGACAGACAGACAAGTAGGTAGGTAGGTAGATAGATAGACAGATATGATGGATGCATGGACAGATGGACAGTGTTCAGGTGTCTGCTTATAGCACTGCCATATCTAAATTGTAGGGTGACAAGAGCACCCTCACTTTCCTTATTTTTACTGTTTTTACAAGGAAAACCAAAGGGAAGGCGACTGCAGCTGCGTGGGCAGGAGCATCCCTGGCTGCCGACATCCCAGCAGCTGAGAACTACCCCGCCGGTGTGCCAGGCGCCTCAGCTTCCTGCCCTAGGAAGCTTGCTTGGCCAAAGAATTAGATACTTTGAGCTCTGCACTCTGTATTATTGAGAGGCTGGAGTTGAGCAATTTTTCAAGGTTTTTTTTTTTTTTTTAACAACTAAGTAATTATCCTGTCCCCCCAAAAGTTCTTTAGATAAGAGGCAGGCATTTTCTACCTTTTTTTCTTCCTGCCTGCTTGGTGTTATACTGGGACATCAAAAAAAAAAAAAATAAGCAAAAGGTCTCTTTGAATTGAGCCGCAGAGGCTTTTGGGTTTTTCTTTCTGTTGTCTAGCTCTTAAAAGCGTAGGGGTCACATATTCTCCGAAGCAAACAAAAGCATGAATTAGGAACCACTGGTGGTTTTCAACTTCACCAACACTAAGCAAGGAAGAGGTCTGATAGTTTTTAATCTCACAAACCTCAGTGTGGAGGAGAACTGCTCCGTGGATATTTTAGATCTTAGTGGGATAGCAGGAATCACCAACCTTAGAAGTCTGCCAGTTCAGTCGGCTAGGCAAGTGCGTAAAGACGTTCAGAAAGAGGCAGCTGTCACGCTGTAAGACACGTAAGCCAAGCAGCTACTCATCAGGGCTGTGGCCCTTGCCAGAATTCAGCATGTTCTTGGTCCTTGCTACTCTGGGTTTATCTTAGTTTAAGATAGGAAAGGTATTTTCACTGGAAAAATCTAGCTTTTTTTGTTGTTTATTTTCCGGAGCCATAATTTCCCCGTATGCATTGCCCTAAATCAGTGAAGGCATCCCACTGTTGCAGGAAATGGACTCAGCATTCCTGAGACAATCTCATGCACCAGATTGTATACACTAGTGTGCTGCTTGGGGGAGAGGGCTGCCTTCTGCGGGCAGAAAAACAGCAGGTCAGGAAGGCAGTGGGCAATCAAATTCCTAGTCCATGCTCAGCGGAGGTTGCTTTGACCTTAGGAATGGATGAGAGGCATGCTGGGAAGTGGGGGTGACAAAATGGGGCCAGTCTCAGAAGGATCTTGGGAAAGAGCATTGTGCCTAAGGGCTCAACGGCTTGATCATCTTAACATTAGAATCCACTGTCTCAGAGCCGGAGGCGGCATTGGCGATGAGGTTCCAGCAAGGCCCATCCTGGTAGACCTCGGGTAGATCCGTGGCGGACTACAGGGGAGTCATGGGAAATTAGTAAGCCCCTCTGCCTCTGTATAGCAGAAGTTCAAGACTGGAGGCATGGGTTGCTCTGATTGGCACTTAAAAATACCAGCCTTGTGGTATGTGCTGGACTACAGAGGGAGGCAGCAGTAAGACTAGCCCCTGAGTGGTCCAGTGAGTGGAGGGGGAGGTTCAGAGTAGCTGTTAGGAAGGGCCATTCAGTGAGGAAAGTGCTCAGGTACTAACCATGACAGACTTGCAGCTTTATGATCTTGAAGTTCCATGGGGATCTCAATCCAGAGGTAGGATCTGCACACTAAGGATTTCACAGAGGATTGAACCTATTGAGTGACCAAGTACAGGAGGAAAAAAGGGTGGTGGGCGGGGTGGGTGTCTAAGACCAGGCCTACAGATAGCCTGCCGTTTAGGATGGCAAAGAAGAAGGTCACAGAGGACATGGGGAGGAAGTAGAAAACCTCAGGACTAGGGTGTCCTGCTGTTAGTTGGAAGTGTTTAAGGGAGGCTCTCCCTGCTGTGAATGGGCTGCCTGAGCCAGACTTAAGTGTGGTAAGAATTTTCTTGGAGTTACCAGTGAAAATAAATCTGCAAATGAGGAGAGTGGGACTGATACCCTAGTCCAAAGCCAGGGTGCCGTTGTACCGTGAATACATAAACGAAAAGAATCTATGCAAATTCAGGCCGGTTTTAAGTTGTCATGAATTATTTTTCATTGTAATTTGGAGGACTTCAAAGAGCACGTTGTCCCAGGTATCTGTAATTGGCTGGGGAGATTATGTCCTTGTTTTGGGGGAGGCTAGTGTCAGGGAAATGCCAGCTCTGTCTCCGCGCACTGAGTATGAGGCTAGGAGCAGGCATCTTTCTAAGATTATTGGCTTTCCCTGCACCTCTGCCACTCCCGTGTCCTTTTCGTGTGAGCTGAGGCAGAGAATCATTCCTGTACTAGGTGTGTGCGTGCCTGTGTGCGTGCATGGGGCGGGGGGGGGGGGGGGTGCTCTGTTTCCTAGAACAGGGATGAACACAACCGTGACATTTTGAAACATTGTAGGAAGTCACACAGGTGACTTCTAGAGCTCTGTGGGTACCTGCACAGTCAGTTCCTCTTGGTGAGGACCTCACTGTCTGTCAGTGCTCATCCTTGGTACATTCCAAAGAATGAGTGTGCCCTGGTTGGCAGCAGGAGGACATTGCGGTGGTATCATTGCCTGGTACCATTTCTCCTCCCACTCTGAGAAGTCCACCATGCTGAACCATTCCTTCTCTGGCTTGGACTCTTCACAGGGCTCCTCATTGTCCCTCTCAAGGTCCAGCAGTCGTGAGCATCTGGCAAGCGGAAGCGAATCAGACAACTGGCGAGACCGGAATGGAATAGGACCCATGGGTCACAGCGAATTTGCTGCGCCGATTGGCAGCCCCAAGCGCAAGCAGAACAAGTCAAGTGAGCTTGATTTCTGTTCACACTTTTCAGGTGTCAGCTTAGAGACCCTCGCTTGGAGTGAGGTGATGAGGGGCAGGCAGCTCCCTCCTGAGACGTGAAGTGCTTGGTGGGAGTCCCGCATAGCCTCTTCCCAAAGCTCTCCTGGTTCCTCCCTGTGAAGTTTTCTGTCCTTTCACTGCATTTTGTACGTGGTGTACGCTGTAGCCCTTGCCTCCCGAAATGCCATCATTTCCTATCGTGACCTACCTTGTAGAATTTGAGTTCTGTCAGTCAGTAATCCCTAGCGAATGCTTATTGAGTACTCTGTCTGGCACCTAGCAGGCACATGTTCTGTAGATGTTTGTGGAGTGAACACACACACACACACACCTCCAGATAACAAGGAAGAGATTGGAACCTGTGAAAGCAGTTGAGTAAGATATTACCAAAGTAGCATATTGGGAAAGCTGAAGAAAAACTAGCTGTTAATGATGAAAAAACAGAATTTTTAGCTTAATCTTTTTTTTAATTTGAGAACTTCATACACGAGTACTGTATTTACATCATTTTTACCCATCTCTCTCCTCCCCCAATTTCTCTCGTGGCCCCCTATTTTCCTCTATCAGCAGCCATTGATTGCCTGTAGCTCTTCATCTAGGGGTAGGGCTTTAGGACATTTCCCCCACCCACATTGGCATGCCAACTGGTATTGTCATTCTGCAGGTCTTGTTTAGGCAAGATGGATTAGCATAAAGAGAGAAATCCCTGGCATTCTGCCTGAGCAAGTACGGCTGAGGCTGAGCAGGGGGCGGTTATCTGTAAGGGTGTTGGCTCTTCTGGGTGGTCAAAATGGATGGCCAGACCAAAGAGCACACAGTGACCATGAGGTGTGTTAATAACGCCTTTTGATTCAGAGTTCTTGCCAAATTTGGAATTCCAAACAGGTAGCATGGACAGTCTGAAGGCACCGCGGGTGAGTGCGGTAAGCATGGTAGCCTATGGTTAGGTTAGGCAAAGCGTGGTCAGGTGTCTCCAACTTGAAGACTAGTCACACTATTGACCAAATCCAAATTGCAAAGTGAAGTCAGCTCCTCTCCCTATGAACCGTGAGTTGTAGCTGGAAACTCCCATCAATGACTGTCTGATTCTCTAAATGTGCACAGTGCAGTCAGCCCAGAGGCGGGCTGCTGTCCCACATAGGCCTTGGGGTCTAGGGGTTTGGCCTATGCAAGTTGGTTTTGTATTTCATTTCTCCTTTCCTTCAGCTAACTTACACCAACTCTACTAAGTTGTTGAATTAAAACTTAGGGTAAGATGAGCTTGTGAAAAAGAAAAGGGATGATTAAAGAAGCCCAATAATATGGCTTTCACCAGGAGTTTGAAGGGTAGGGGTGGGGTTAGAAGAAGATACAGAAACTATCAACAGTTAAGACAAACCTATCAATAGTCAACACGAAGTTAAGGGCCATTATAAACATTTACCACAGAGGGTTTTAATTTCAAATATCTGTTTAAATTTTCACTAATATGTTTTCCTTGACGCAGATCTACAATATATATTATACTGGTCCAACACTTCAATTTCCACTCACCTCATCTCAGGTTCTCAGTGGCTTCATGTGGCCAGTGGCTACCATATTGAAGAGCATGGCATAGCCACTTTTTCTTTATACCCTGGGTCTTAGTCTCAAAAGTTCCTCCTTCTCTGGGCTTCCCTGTTTATACCAGTTGCTCAGTGTAGATTTTGGTAGCCCCCCTTTGCTCTACCAGAAGGTACGTTTATCATTTGGACAGCAATTTACGTGATCAGCCTGTAGTTGACTTCTACTCACTCAAGGCCAGTAGGCACTTGGAGGGGGGCTCCCAGCCCATGGTTTTGTAGCACCTTTGACTCAGTATGCTTTGATGATTTCGGGAAACTTCTGTCTTACCTTTAAATGATAGTCCAAGGATGTTATTTTAAGGGTTAGTTTTGGATTCTTCTTATAAGACTATACCTGTTTTGAAAAGAAAAAGAAACGTTATTCATAATTCCTTGCCTTTGAGATATGCCGAGAGCTTCTCATGACCTGCATGGATCTGCCTGACCTGGAGGAGCCTCATCTCTTTCTTCCACTCTCTAGAAATCCCTCTTAGGGCCATATCCTCACTGTGAGAGGGTGGATCCTCACACCGGCAAGAGGCAGCATGGCCACACAACCATCCACTAGATCCTCTAAAGCAGTATGCTTAGGTGTGTCTGGTCATGTACATGGTCTGGTTTTATGGCCCTTCCTCTAGCCTGGGCTGTCGGTTGATCTGAGACCATGGGTAGGTTGGCCTATCAAGTCCTTTGCAGAGCCAAGACAAGACTTCTGTATTGCTCTGCTAGCATTCTTCCCGAGAAACGCATGCGGTCAGTCATAAATTAAATCCGGGAACCTCAGCCTCACTGCTGTGCACGTTACTCATTTCAGAAGCCCCCAATTTGACAGACTTGATGGCCTGATGGGTGCTTCAGGGCTGTGGGATGTGTGTGCTGTAGTGCTGCGTGAAGGAGGCACAGGTCGGGAGGTGGAGATCCCATCCAAAGGGAACCAGGGCTTGTTATAACTTCCTGTACCTTTACCGTGTCCCAGAGTTCCTTTCCAGCTTTTCATTTGATTCCCATCAAATCAGCTGTAAAGAGCCAACGCTCAGGGGAGAAAATACAATGAATGATTATTAGCTGCAGAGGCACGGTACTGACTTTCTGCCTCCCAACTGTTAACCTCGGGATGGCAGGCGCTTCCTGACAGCAATAAACAGCGTTTCCTTGGTGAGAAGCTGGTCCTGTGGTGACGGATTACTGTGCTTTACAGCCGGTGCTCTGTTGAGCCCAACAATGAAATCTGAAATACTTGGTGATTAAGGCTTTTAATTAAACCGTGTTCTCTGTGGCCTTGACTATCTCTCCTCTGCCTTCCAGGAGAGCATTATCTCAGCAGCAGCAACTATATGGACTGCATTTCCTCGCTGACAGGAAGCAATGGCTGTAACCTGAACAGCTGCTTCAAAGGCTCGGACCTCCCTGAGCTTTTCAGCAAGCTGGGCCTGGGCAAATACACAGATGTCTTCCAGCAGCAGGAGGTGGGCCAGCCTGTGTCTTCCTGGGCGTCTTTGTTTGGGTTGTGGGTTGCTGCGGGCCGCAGGAGTATATCATAAGAACTCAGCTGGTTATGGCAAAGTCACTACCTGGAGGGATCAGGGAATTCCTCCAGAGGAAGCCAAATTCCAGCGAGTTTTTGGTGTTATTTGGCTTGTTATATATCAGCTGTATTCTGTTATGAAAATCATGTGTGCCTTCATAGTTTTCCCAATTGACTTTTCCCTAAGAAGGGCTAACAGTGTGGATCACTCTCTGGGCATACACATTCCAGGTATTTGGAGAACAGCCTCAGGAAAGGCTTTCTCTGGAATCAGATATCTCCCTTAGCCACTTTCAAAGACTAGCAGTAATAACAGTCCACATGAAAGTCTCCTGATTTAAGCTAAATTCCACAAGGAGACGCCGCCTAGGTCAGGTGGACCTTAAGTAATAACTTTACACAATTTAGCTCAGATCCTCCTTTCTTACAGCCTTACTAACTTTATAGATCTTTAACTCCTTACCTAACCACTTCTAGGAATATTTAGATAACTTTCTGTGCTGACAGCTATCCTCAGCCAGAACCCCAGTTCAAGCCTCCCTGTAATTATCATCATTGGCAGCATCCAGTCAGGTCCATCCCCAGATGGAGAAAAGTACCTTATCAGAGATACCTCTGTACTCTCTAAGAACAGACTTAAGCATCCAGGCTACCTGTTTGAGAAGGCCTGGTGGATGTGCCAATTAAGCTTAACTTCCTCCTTTCTCAGACCTTACCTCTAGTTCCAGATCTCCCTTTAACTATCACCAGAGGCATCTAGCTGTACACAGGTTGCCTAGCGACTGAGCACACTTTCCCCCACCCTACAGAAAAATGGTAGATAGCTTGGACAGATATGAGTCACAGGAAAAAAGAAGACAGTTTTATTTTCTCCCATTGACCTAGCAACTTATAGATTCTTAACATTTTCTACCCAATCACGTTTAAGATTATAGTTGAGCACATAAGAGCCCTCTTTTTAGATATTACCTGAATTTAGCCTTTAGTTAATTCATTTTCCCATTGGTGACTTCCCTTTGGGGTTGCAAATGATAATTAACGGTTATTGCCCCTCTATGTGCTTCTTATCACCCCTCAGTTTGACCCTGGAAGCCTGGCTTTGCACTGCCAAGGGATTACTGCTTGTAAGTGTATATATACAGGGACTCCCAGGGCATGTGGAGAACAGGGAGGAACAAGGAGGATTTTGACCAGAGAGTACGTGTGGACGAGATGGAAGATGAGGAAGAGTCAGATGGGGAAGAGCAAGATGAAAAGGACCTAGATGAGGCAGAATTAAGACGAGAGAATTAACATAGAACTTAGAGGGAACAGTAGATAGAGAAATCAGGCAAGAAAGGAGCTAGGCACGAGAACAGAACTGAAGCTGTGTATAAAGGGCGTTATGCCAGAGGAATTAAAGCAAGTGGACTATAGAGCTCGGTGTGCTGAGATTCTATTTCCCGAAAATAGTCCTCACCGTTCATAGTTCTCTCCTGAGCCCCTGGGATGTATAATATTAAGGCTGGTCCCTCTAATATTATACAAGAGTGGGTGTGATAACCCCTAGAAGAGAGCCATGTTGACCTGTGGTTGTACTTTCCCTGGGTGTTTCGTCAGATCTCAGCTTGTTCTAGCTGCCGAGGAAAACGTCATCTTGTTTCTTATTCCGTAGAGCATGGGAAAGCAGAGAAGTAGAAAGTGGGGTTTGCAGAAAAGCACCCCAACCATCCTTCACCACTTTAGCAGAGAGAGCACACTGGGGTGTTGATGTAGGGGAACCTTGGGGTCATAGCTCCCCTGAGCTCCATTGAGCCTGCAGGTCCTCGTTGTTCACATCTGCAGCCATCTACTATGTATACAGCAGCTAGCAGAGCACATCATTGCCTGTCCCAAGTGCCCAGCTAGGATCTGACTTCACTGCTGTTACCTTTCTGGTCCCCACAGGCTAACTTCAAAATAAGAGCCCTGCCCCCCCGAGCTGTTTCCTTCCATATTGCGTTGCTGAGGCCACAGGACATGCTGTTAGACAGATGTTTCTGTCCCATTTTTGAGATGTCTGTTGTGTTCATGGAACTGAGGGCTTGATTCTCCTGCATGGCCATAGACAACACAATGGAAACTGTCATCCTGTGTACACTTTGATTTCTCCTTAGAACCGAAAGCTAACAAACATCCTTGATTCGTAGCCTTCTTTTTATCAGTTCACAAATGGGGTACAGTACTTCGGTTGTTTTGTTTTGATCATAGCTGCCAAGATGCTCAGAGCTAAATTTATCTCGGTGGCATTAAGTTGCTGGCTTAGTCTGTCTCCTGATAACCGTTGCTTTCAGTTCACCAATTTCTTCTCTCTCTCTCCCTCCCTCCCTCCTTCTCCTTGAGATTTTTTTTTTTTACAGTGTATGAATTTTTGCTTGAATGTGTGTCTGTGTACCATGTGTGTGCAGGGCCCATGGATGACAGAATTGAACATCAGATATCCTAAGACGGGAGCTATAGTCACTTGTGAGCCTCCATGTGGGAGCTGGGAATTGAATCAGGGTCCTTTGGAAGGGCAAGCAGTGCTCTTCCCTACTAAGTCATCTCTCCAGCCCCCACCACTCATTTCCTGATTTCTGGCCCTCTGGTTTCAGGAAGTAGGTAGAATTAATGAATCAATACGAGAACGAGTCCATCCCACAGCGGTCAAGACACACCCACTGAACCGATTGGCTTCAGCTTGTTTTTGCCTTCCACAGATTGATCTCCAGACATTCCTCACCCTCACAGACCAGGATCTGAAGGAGCTGGGAATCACCACCTTTGGAGCCAGGAGGAAAATGCTGCTGGCAATTTCAGGTGAATAGATATTGAACTCATATTGTAAAATCTGAAAGCCCTCTCTCAGGGGTCTCAGCCTGTGAGGCTGCTTCTGCCCATCAACTACGCACTCCTCTGATACCATGATGGATATGGTGCAGGAGGGGTCCTCCTGCCAACACCTGACCAATACTGAGAACCCCCTACCACCTAATCAAGGCCCTGCCCAAAAGCCTGTCTTGGCAGTATCGTTCCTTATGCTAGACCTCCTCAGAAAGATGTAGCCAACATTGCCCCATGTGGAACATGAAAATGGGTGAGCAATTGTGATAAACAAGTTGCTATGTCTGTGAGTAATTAGTCTTGATTGAGAACCATGTTCCAATGTGTATGTCCTTGAGCACCAGGGTCATCACACTGAGAGGAAAAAAGCATTCATGGTGTTTCTTGGCAGGGCTTATCAGACTTAATGCCTTTCTATTTTTTCTAATGTTTTAGTAGAGTTTGAGTCACAGATGGAAGAAACATAGTATCTGCATCCCTAGTCTGCCTTTGTGGTGGTGTGTTGCATATTCCTTTAGTGAGTGCTCTGTACCTACTCACTGGGCACCACGCAGGTGATAAATCGGGGTGATGCACACATATGTCAGTGTACCTCTACAGAGTTCAGAGAAAGAGGACATGGACGTCTTTCCAGCAGTGTTCTTGAACGTCAAATTTATGTGTGCCTACCTCTTGAAGAGATAGTGACACTAACAGCAGAAACCAAGAATTCTCTGCTAGGGGACTGTCCCTTGGCAGGCTGGGCCTGTGTGAGGCCAACAGTTGCATCCAGCTGGTGAATATCCTTTCCAGCCAGCAATCACTAATCATATAGAAAATACGATTCAAAACCTCAGTGTTTGCCCATTTCGTTTAGCGGTGGATTGCATTACCTGACGCACCTCCTCATGAGAAATCTTTGTCTAAAGCAGATATGTGCCTGCAGGGTAGATGTCAGCATGGGTGGTTTGGGGTGTAGCATTAGACTCCTCCACAGTAGTATTCGTACTTACATGCTTAAGGACTCTACCCGGGAGTCTCCACCAGCCTGTATTAGCAGTGGATGTGTAATTCCTGAGTAGTTGTGAGCTCATCCCAGAATATGTGAGGGGAACAATGGATTCAGAAAGGAGGCTTGTGTTTTGCGGGGCCAAGTTACCGACTCTTGGGGTGAGACTACAAATCTCTCTTGGTTTTGGCTTGTCGTGAATGTAGATTATGGTGGTGATTGTGTGGGTCACCTTCCATTTCTGAGACCTGTCCTTCCGTGAAATACATCATCGGGCTCGATGGATACTCTTAGCAGACTGGTTCAAACCCTTGTTTGTTCTTTTTGCTGTCTTTGGTAGTATGATTGCTTCATTCACCTTGTTTACCTTAGAGCCTGTCCACACAGGGTTATTCTCAGATTCTAACATTAGATACTTCCACATTGTTTCATTGATTTTTCCAAGTGAAATTGAGGTGCTACTTGGTATTTGGCTAAGTCACACACTTGCTAATACAGGCTAGCACTTCTATACAGAGAAATATCTACCTGACACTCTGTAGCCTTTCACTAGCCTTCATGGAATAGTGGTAGCAACATAATGAAAACCAGATTTTTTCTCTGTGAACTGGTTCCAGGTCCTGTGAATCATTCAGCCACAGGGGACAGCTCCCAAACATTTCCATAGGTTGTAGGTGGATCAGCAGGATGCTTTCCTCTGGAAAATAGCAATGCCCCTCAGTCTAGGTTTGGAGAAGGGGAGTACGATGAAGGGGTTTTGAATCCTCTTTATTTTTCCACTCATCATCTTGGGCATGGTTCTTCTGAGGTCAGTATGTGTTTTGGAGACCATCTCTCCTGACGGGCTCATGGGTTCTCATGCCTTTAATTGAAATGAGGTGCCTTGGGACTGCTCTGCACAGCATGGGGTCTTTGATTACACTGAGGAAGGTTTGCCTTACTATGCCGAATGCATTTGTTGGGACCTAATAAATCATTTCTCTTTGCAAGTAATGTTGTCATTAAGCAACGCTTCATCCAAAGCTACTTCTCCCCGTTCAGCCTACCTGGTAACAAAGACTCCCGCTCACAGCCCCCAAGCATTCTACCCCAGAGAGTTGTAGCCTGGCCAGGCAGCCCAGACTCAGGCTTGTCTTCTGGTTAGATGGTTTCTCCTTTGCAAAATTGTGCAGATTATTAAATTTATCCTTGGAATTGTTCTTTTGGTATGAGGTTTTTAATCTTGGGGCAGAGAGTCTGCGTTTTAATATTGTAGGGAGTGAATTTGAGATGCAGAGATGTGTCCGAGAATAAATTGGAATTTTTCTTTTGAAGTCAGATTGCGGAGACCAGTTTAGTAACTGGTCAGCCAGCGAGCTGGACAGACTCAGTGAGGCATGCTAGCATCCTGTTGACAAGCCTCCTGCCACAGCCTCAGGTAGATCTAACATCTCCCGACCTATTCTTTTAGTTTGTGACTCTGTTCAGATCCGCAACAAGATCCTGAGAGCTGCCAGGATTGTGTGAACCTTGGAATTTCAAAGAAAAAGGTTGGTATTTTCCGAAACTCTCCCCTTAGGTTTTTCTGAGACAAAAGATACAACTAGAGGAAGGAGTTTGCTTTTTAATCTTAAGTAAGACCCTTAATGTCTTCAGTAGGACTTGCCTTGATGGCCTCTTTCAGGCAGCTTTGTTTCTGAGCCTCACATGTGTGTGTTCACTCTTTTAGAAACTGTGCCTTTGTAGATGGCCTGATTCCCCTCACGGTCACTGTGTTCTTTCAGATGGCTTAGCCGATGGAACCTTCTAAAGATAATCACTGAAAACCTTCATTGGCCTCCTTATTTTCACTGGCTCACTGCACAGGCTCCCGTGCTGGGGAAGAGTGTTCGGCCCCATTCCTTACTTTTCCTTCTCTGTAAGAAGGGAACAAACTCCTGCCTCGGACCTCCTGTGAGAAACATGGAGACCAAAGTTGGTCTTCTCTAAGTGGGCCTTTAAGTACATTCAGTTCCATCTTGATCTGAAATTTGAAGTTCTGTGTTGGTGGGTTTTTAAAATAAGACACAGTTGTTCAGCTTTTTGGAAGGCGTATCAGATTCTATAGTGACTGAAATAGCAACCATGCCATGTGTGCCAGCGTGTGCCTTGTTCATAGAGACACCTTATACCTCTTCACAGATCTCAAACTATTCTTACAATTCATAAATGGATGTGGTACACTTCGGTACAAACTAATGCTCTGTCACTGGTCATACCTGAAGTGGTGATGTCTCTGGTGGCATCCTTCCTACCACAGGGCCTTGTTTATCTGTGGTTACAAAAACCCAGTGTTCAGTGAACTTTTGTATCAGGCAGGAGGGGGGCTCAGCTCTGTGCTTTATCAGTGTGCAAGCAAGTGACATCAACTTTTAAAAAATCATTTTCCAATAGAGGATTCTCGTGTTATCTGCCCCTTAGGAAAGACTTGAGCAAAATGAAGCAATTCTAAGGTACCTGTCATCACCTCTAAGGCATCAGTGTTATCTCTTCTCTGAGAACAGCGTGTTAACAAAAGAGAAGTATCTCCAAGGTTGCCCTGACCCTTACAAGGCAGGTGTTCACATTCAGAGACATTTAGGTGAACTGTTAAGGTCATGCAGTATGACTTATTTTCCAGGACTCAGCAGACAGGAGTATGGCTGGCTGACTATCTGGTGGTCCTTACCCACTTGGCTCATGAGAGCCTCAATCATTTTCTCATTCTAAGACTCGCCAGAGCTCCCATGGCTCACAGTGTGACTGCTGAATTCCAAAGGCAATGGATATGCTTGAGGGAGGGGGGTGGTGTTAAACTGAGTTCAGTACAAGGTGAATCTCCTGCCTAAGTCTCCTGAACACAGATAAACTCAAGCAAGTCAGTTTTACGCCTTTCTGATCATTGAAAGTTGAGCCAATTGGAGAGATTTACATTTGGTGCTGGTGAGAAATCCTAACTTCCTGTTTCACAGTTCCCCTCACATGTCTTCCTAGAGAGTTTTGTGGTGATGCCAGGGTCTCTCAAACAAGGGGGATGCCTAGTCACACACCATCTACAACGATTAGCTAGCTGTATGCCTTTCTGTTTGGGTCTGTTGTGCCATGTAAAAATCACTAGATATTACTCAGGATTCTTTGAAATTAAAGTAGGATATTTTATGTTTTTTTCTCCTGACAATTTAGATTTCAGTATTGTCTTTAAGTATTAATTTTCTAAGTGGATAAGATCTTTACTAAGTTGATGTTTTTCTACAGAGTTCTTCCATGTGGTTGGGCTTCCCATAACTGATTGCCGTTCAGGAAGCCCAGGCTTGGTATCCTGGTGCAGTTGTGGGGAGGTGGCTTCATACTCTGCTGTGCAGCCTTCAGACATGGGAGTCTCTGTCCATGTCTGCCTTGCCTATATTAATGTTTTCTGTGTCTGTCATGGAGGAAGAGTGCGCATGTGTGTTTTGCTGAGAATTGAACCCAGAGCCTCAGCCCCGTTAGACCACTAAGCTGTGTTCCCAGCTGTTGTAATCCTCTCTGCCACTGGTCATATATTTTCTCATGCCAGCATCTCTTGTGCCCTTTGCCTCTGACTTTGGGCCCTAGCAAACCTGTCTAACATGGCTAGGGAATTCTGGGAATGACACTGAGCTGGGTGTTTTACAAACCATAACGAACACCATTTGCCCGTAGTTATCTAGGGGAGCAGTAAGTGCCTCTCACACAGTTGCCGATGAAATGTTTAGACATGCCCACTATTAACTGAGAGAATACCTCCCGCCACCAACCTGGCTGTCCCCACAAATCCCACGGTCACTATTCTCTTGAGTTCTGATGTGCTCTCCTTACCCAGAGCACTTTTCCACTGACCAGCGGCCCTTGCTCTCTTTTGTTCTCTTCCCAGAGCTAAGTAAAAACCGAAGAAAACTTTTTGAACCACCCAGTGCATGCACCTCCTTCCTGGAAGGCGGAGCCAGCGGGAGGCTGCCCCGTCAGTATCACTCAGACATTGCCAGCGTAAGTGGCCGTTGGTAGCAGTACCTTCTGGACACACCACCACCTGCAGAGTTGGACACAAGTCTGTGGACAGTCTTCACTGCACCCGTCCGTCCTTGGCACTCTGGGTATCTGGTATTGGGACCAAACCATGGAATTCGCTCCTGTACTTCATGGCAAAAAAAAAAGACAAGAGATGTGTCTCATGTTCTCACGTTGCCATAAAAGCACCAAAGGGGAAAGGCTTTTTAAACTGGCAATTGGACAGAATTTGCAAAATGAGGGTAGGGCTTTGTTTCTTCCTATTTACCTATATTACATATGCACTGATTTTTTTTTAAACCTAAAATGAAGGAAAATTTGACATCTGAGATGCCAGAAAACTAAGAAGTTATTTGTTTGCTTGAACTCTCTTGGTGTTTGGGGATTTGAAAAAATAAGTAATCAAAGTATAATTTTCTGCTTTAAGATAATGACTGAGGTCTTCCAGCACTTTACATGGTCTAGTTGCTCGTCCTGTGGATCTGTCTCCCACCTTCATGTTTCTGGTATTGGTACACATTTTTCTGGCCCCATCAAATGTTTATTTGAAATGGTACTGGACATTAATTAGTTCCTGTGCAGAATTTTCTGTGCTCGCTCTGGACCAAATTCTGTTCATTTGCGTCAGCATCTTAGGAACCCTTGGCCACGACTGCAGTCCGCTGGCCAGGTACAAAAGACAGAGCAAATGGACTTTGCAATACTAACTCTGTGCAGCTGTCCTAGTGAGCTGCTGTCTGTATTGGTAAAATGATCTGAAGGGTTATCTAAAGGCCAAGGGGCTGGTCTTTTAGTATACCGCCACTAAAGGACATTTATTTATATCAAACTTTTATTTTTAGATATTATAAGCATACAAGTAGATAAGTGATGAAATGGATATTTTCTAGAGATTTATGGTAGAGAATGAGCTGCGTTCATAACTGGAGCCCTAGGTTGTCACTTTATTTAAAAAGACAAGTAACCATTTGACGAGACAGCATTTGCTGCCATTATGAAGAGAAGAGGCCCCTCCTTACCCAGTAGCTCCACCCGCTGTGGGTCCTGGGACTTTCCTCAAAGTGCCTTCGAGTCTGCTGGAAGTCACCTTGGATCAGTTGGGCACAGAGAAAGGCTCCAGGGTGACAGCTCATCCGAGAGCTGAATTCTGAAGGGAGAGAAAAAGGTTTCCTAAGTGGCCAGATTTATCATTACAATCTTATACTGTGAAAGGCCAAGAGACCAGGCGACATTATTTCCTGTCTTTGCAGACTTATGAAGGTTTTCAGTCCAATGAAGACAACCACTCAAGTGCCTTTCTCTCTTCAGAGCAATATTCTTACCAAGTGTATACATTTTTTTGGAAAACTTTCCCCATAGGGCATGTTGTCAGGTACCTTTAGAGATGTGTGTATGTTTAGTGTGTTAAGGCTTTCTGTGTGACATAAACCACTCCCTCCTGCTCTCAGTAGAGGTGTTGGAGGAGTGTGCACACAGCTGAGTGTCTATACAAACCCGAGGTAAGAAATGCTTGCCTAGTGTCTTTCCAGGGCTTAGTCTGATCATTAAAGAATTGAAGGAATCTTTACCCATAGAGAAGTTTTCACGTGGAAAACTTTGGCTCCCTGGAAGCATGACCATGAGCTTGGCACAGCAGTCGTATCTACCTGGCACTGATCTCAGTCTCCCCCACTTAAGGGGACAGAATTGAATCGCTCTGTGTAAGTACGGAGTGGACCTCCTAAGGCTTATCATACATCCAGTTCACCATCTCGGCTCTCTAAATTTTGTTATTTCTTTAATTAAAAAAAGACAAACTAGCAAACTAATCATTGGAGCTCATTGTGGACTCTGCCCTGCATTTGCTAATGGAAGACAAGGGAACAAATATTCACTATTAAGCTGGTTTAGGCTGTACACATAGTGCTTTGATTTTACACCAAAGGGAAGCTGTCCACTTCAACTTGATTAAATAGGGAGGCTAAAAAATAATTAAAAACACTGGAAGGTTTCTCTCCCTTTCTCCTGATGCAGCGAAGTCATGCAGACTTGCCGGTGTTCTGTCATGCACAGAATATTTGGGGTATTGGAAGTAATGGGGACTTTTAACCAACCTGGCCTTACTCGCGACTGGTAATCTGTAAATAGGGAGCAGACATAGATTGTATTTTGTGGGGAATTTTTGTCCTTTTATCACTTTTTTTAAAAACATGAGAGATGGGATTAACATTGAAAGTGGGGACTTTTTTCTAAGCCAATCGTTACATGAGAAATAAATTTATATAACCCCTTTGTATTGCTGTCTACATGGAATGTGTCTTTTTTTTTATTTAAAATCTTTCCACATAAGCTCCTCACCTGTCCTTGTTTTCGGGTTTCAAGGAAGGGGCTGTTTCTAGCAGAGTGTGAGTCTGTCTCCTCGGCAGAGTTGAATCCGCATCCTCTCTCTGAATAGGAAGCCAGTGATTTCGAGACTAGTGATTGGTTATTCTTCTTGTCACCTGCCCTCAGTATATCCAGAAAGACCAGCTTTGTTCTTACTCATTCTGTAATCCACTCAGGTGGATGACTGCTTTGACAGGCTCATCCATCAGCAAAGGTTCCATGCTCAGTAGGGCTGGGTTTGACCTTCGTTCCCTTACAGAGACTGTTAAACTAGCCAACGGATTGTCTCTGGATTGCTAAGGACCCCATTACCACAGACATTAGCTATCAGCTGTGCTGCTCTGTTCCTTCCATTGCCAAGTCTTCTGAGGGACATTGCAGCCACTCTGCTTCATGTTGGGTGACAGTCCTATCACCCTGGAGCAAACCCCTCTACTACAGCATTGTGGAACATCTCTGCCTTTCCACACGAGCCTCTGTAAGTGCCCTGGGGGAGCTTTTCTAGAAGTCCAGTTTTTAATAAAATTGTTGAAGATGTCCGTTGCATCAAAATGGACCCATGCTTTCAGATGCTAATAACTCATTCCCCATCCTCCCCTCTCTCTCTCTTTCTCTAGGTGCATAGCTGTAGTTACATTCTCAAAAGGCAGATGTGACTGAAGGGCTGTGACACCACTCAGAGTTCTGCTGTGATAACATTAGGGACCCTGACCTCTCAGACTGTGCTATGGCGGTGGATGCTCAAAGCATCCTGTGATACTTGGGACTTAGTTCCACATGTGTAGATGCTAGATAGCTAGAGTCTCTAGATCAAACTGTCCCCAAAGAGATTTATCCTGATTCAAGTACTCATTATGTTAACTCTGATGTGTTAAAATGCATTTAGCCTCATAAGATGGCATTTATTCAGTGTGCTGTATGATTTTAGTGCCCCCATAGAGGCCACGATTGTCCTCCGATCCTGTTCCAGGTGAGCTAGCTTCCTTTCCAAAAGCAGCCTTTAGGATGACACCCGGTAACCTAGCGAAGAGGTACAGAGATTGGCTGCCAAGTCAAGGAAGGGTGCAGTCAGATGTTATCTTTCCAGCGTGAGAACACTCCTTCCCCCAGAGACCTCACCTGGAAAGCCGAAAGGCACAGCTTTGAGGTGTTATTGATGACGTAAAGGGACAGTGTGTCAGTCTGGCTCCATAGCCAGAGGCGAATAGCGAGCAGTGTGTCCACGGCAGCTCCTCACTGTTACTAACTAGCCTTTCATTTTAGAACATGGGTGTTTTCATTCCTTTCATGGAAATTTGCTGTGCTCATCTGCTTCCTTCACCAGAAGGAGAAAGACTGCTTCTGCCCGAGTGTTAGGCAGAGAAACTGAAACGCAGTCAAGTACTGTGAGGGTTAACTTTGACTGTCTGCCTCATCCGGTGAAGTAACACACCGGGGCGCTAGCGAGAGGCACGTGTCCAGTGTACCTGTGGCGGTGTTTTCAGAGAGGATGAACTGAGGCGAGAAGACCCACTTTGAGTGGGAATGGTGCCATCCCATGGTTTGGAAGCCTAAGCTAAAATTCAAAAATGAAAGGGTAAAAGCCAGCTGAGGGCTATCAGCCCCTTCTCCCAGCTTCCCAGCCCACTGAGAGATGAGCAAGCTGCGGCTGCCATGCTTTCCTGCCATGCTGGATCTTATCCCTACAAACCATGAGCCAGAGTGTAACCTCCTCTCCAACTTGCCTCTTGTTAGATAACCTGGCTATAGATAGGACAAACTACCCACTTCCAGAGGTGAGTCTCCGGCCGGACGCAGTATTGAAATGAAGTCTTTGTTGTACCAGGTTCCATCCATTTAGCGCATTTATAACTGGATTTATAGCCAGTGACTACATCTTGTTATCTAATTATCACATTCTTAGAGTTCTTACTTCACTAACCCCCACCCTGAGACACACAAGGTCACCTACTCCCTGGCTTCTGTCAGTTTCCATCATTCTCTCCCTACCAAGCTCATCACTGATTTTCTTTAGGTGTGTTATGTGAGCTTTGCTGTTAGAAGGAGCCATTAGCTTGGGATTGGTGTCAATTTTAGTTTCCCACTTTAAAAAGCAAACAAGGTATGTTCCTATTGGACCCTTCTTACAGACGTGGCCAGGACACTTTAAAAATCCTTCATCAGGGAACTCTGCGTTCTTGCTGCCATTTGGAATGACTCCTTTCCAAAAGGAGCAAGTAGAAGTTGGCAGTCCCTGCTTGGATTAGGTTGAGCTGTGAATTTGTTTTGGAATAAATTTTGGGGAACAGGGAGTCTGAATATGACTCTGGAGGGAGGATCTCTGTGGGAACAAGAACCTTAAGGAAAAGCCATGGCAACTGCTTGTTTCAGACCCACTGGAAGGGTTACAAGAGGCGCAAAGACTAACTCAGTAACTGGGTGTGTGTGTGGCCCTTCGTTCCCAGGCAGAGAAGTGAGCGGCTCTGAACTGGTTGTCCTCGGTGCTGCCCCTTCATCCCTCTCAGCGACTGTGAGACTCGGACTTTAGCAGGACATCTAAGAAACAATTTAGGTGTGGGCAAAAGTTGTACATGAGCACAGCTGTGTCTTGGTCCAAGATACCAATGCAGTCTGATTCAGAGTTCCCAGGGAATGTTTTTTTTTTTTTTTTTCATTTAAAGATCTGCTCTGTGTGTGTGTGTGTGTGTGTGTGTGTGTGTGTGTGTGTGTGTATGAGGTATGTCTGTGTGTATCTGTGTCTGTGTGTGGTGGCATGTCCTTACAAGTTTGAGTCACAGACTGTCCCTGTCAACAGCTACATGAATTCATATTCTCCATGCAAGTTCTTCTATGGCTTGAAAACTAACCACTAACCACAGTGAAGACTGACGATGGTCCTTCTCACCCATCTGCATTGCATCTGCAAATAGGGAAGGAACATCCCATCCTACTGCTTTGTATATACTTAAAAAATGTTTCTAAATACACATAAAACTGCCTTTAAGAAAACTAAAAATAAGGCAGTGGAGGTTAAGGGAAGTTAAGTTCAGCTTATTTTATACAATGGAGTCAGACACTGTACTTTATAATGAGGATCTTTGACTTTAAAGAAAAAAAAAACCACATCCTAGAATACAGAAAAGTTAAATACCAGACAAATCATCCCTTCAATAAATAGGCACATAAACACAGTTCTCAAAAGAAGCACAAATGGCCATTGGCTGTGAACAAATGTTCAACGCCTTTGTCTGTCAGGGAAATATAAACCTAGCTACAGAGTGATTCCATCTCACTCTAGTCAGAATGACTATCAGCAGCCCCTCCCCCAAAGGACAGTACATGCAAGTGACCCTTATCCACTGCTGGTGGGAATGTAAAGTAGTCTGCCCACTTAGAAATCGGTATAGAGGTTCCTGTTCAAAACAGCAGAATTGCCATGTGACCCAGCTCCACCTCTCCTGGGTATACACCCCAAGGAATCTGGCCATCATAGGGATTTGCACATACACCTTTTTGCTGCATTAGTTCACTATAGCCAGGATACAAAACCAGCCTAGACGCCTCTCGACAGAGAAATGGATAAAATATGGCATATATACACCATGGAGTTTCATGGTACATATACACCACAGACTTTCCTTCAACCATAAAGAATACTGAAATGATGTTATTTGCAGAAAAGATGGATGGAACCAGCAATCATCACGGTAAGTGGGTAAGGTAGACGCAGACATCACATGTGCTCTCATATATGGAGTCTAGATTTGAAATACACACATAGGTATGGGTGTCAGCAAAAGGAAA